GCTAATTACCCCGGCCTCCCGTTTGCCCATTGTCCATTGCCCATTACCAATATTTCATAAGATACGTTTCCACCTTTGCTATCTTTTTACTTTTGTTATTCTTACAGGTACATATATATCTTACTACATTAGTATTTTTGAATGAACATTGCTTCATTTGTCATTGTCGTATTTGTTAAGTGTGGGGATGGATTAGGTTAGGAAATTAATTACAAGCTGGAATTTACAAGTTAATTTCGTGATTGCTGTCAGCACAAAAAGCAGTGTTCATGAAATTCGTAACGAGGCTTTCGGAAACTTTCAGCATTGCGTGTGCATGTCATGCGGTCTAGCTAACATTCCTACTGGTCGATGAACGGAGCTACACTGCTGAGTTCGGTTTTCGATCACCAAACAGTTGAAATGAAAAATTGTTTTAAAATTGATGGTTTTTTTAATGTCATAGTTACTTGCGAATTTTGAACATTTTCTGGATAAAGGGCGAAATGAAAGGACAGCTGTTTTTGTAAACGATCACTATGAATTACAGGTGTGGGCAACTTTATCTAGATCTACCTAGATACCTTACATAGACCTAGGCCTATATATCGATCAGAAATCTTATACCGATGTATGGTATCTGTATTGATCGATTAAGGTGTAATCACGCAGTTTCATTTTGAGATATGGCTATTTCAGAATCGATTACTAGTTTATCTTTAGCAGATATAAACTACAAGAGAGTAAAAGTAAAACATAGTAATTAATATTCTTAATTTTAAGGTTAATACGGGAAAGGCCTCTATAGCTACCGTATAGTTTTTCCCCGACTTGGAGTGTGTGTGTGTGTGAGTGTGTGTGTGTGTGGGGGGGTTGTGTTTAAGACATTTATGTACATTTATATTGAAATGATGAATTAAATATTTTTTTAAAAGTACTATTTCAAAGGTAATTGATCTTAAATATATTTTACAAGACAATTTAACATGCAATATAGTTATTTAAAATTCAAATTAATGGTAAAACTTTGATGAGGAAAAATAGATACTGCAGTACAGATTTTTCAGGACATTATCCATTGTAGAAAAAACATCCACATTTGATGTATTCTAACAAAAGATATATTATTCCAGTTTATCATTGTCCCTTTTCCTATGTTTACAAGCAATGAATGAATGAATGAATGAATGAATGAATGAATGTCTTTATTTCCTCCAGATAAATCCGAAGATTCTCAAAACATCAAGATTATGTAATTAAATAATCAAAAAACACAGTATTCAAACATATATACATATATATATATATACTGAGTCAAATTAAAAACTTCACATTTTTTAAAGTAATCCCATATATGATACACAACGGACAAATGTATCAGAGAAGGTAATTTTTAATCATTAATGTTCAAAGAAGGATTTTAATTAACGGTGGTAACCATAATTTGTTCCAAGCACCTACGGTATTGGGTAATAACATGAACAGTTTAAATCATAAGTCCCAAGCACGAGAATCTGATGGCACACAAGTTCAGTAGGGTGTATGGCCACCATGGGCGTTGACAACTGCCACACAACGCCTCTGCATGAACCTTGTGATGCTTGTGAACACATGATTGGGAAACGACGCCATTGTTGCTGCAAAATGGTGCCAAGATCTTGCAAATTCTGTGGTTGGTTCTGCAGAGTGTGCAGACTTCTGCCAAGAGCATCCCAGACGTGCTCGATGGGATTGAGGTCGGGAGACCTTGACGGCCAGTCCATGACGTGAAACATGACATGAAGATCAAACCGGGTCCATGTGCTGCCATAAAAGGCAGAAGTTCTGGTGCCAGCACCTGGTCGCGGTGGGCAGCAGCAGCGTTGAGGTTGCCACGGATGACAAAAAGCCTGGAACGTACATTGCCACAGAAAGCCCCCCACACCATGACACTTCCGCCTCAAAATCTGTCAACTTCCTGTACACAACACTGGGCGTAACGTTCATGACGGCGCCTCCACACCCTCGCCCTACCATCAGCAAATCGAAGATAAAATCGGGATTCATCACTGAAGACGACTTGATTCCAATTCCTCTGAGTCCATCGTAAGTGTCGCTGTGCCCACAATTGACGTTGACGTCTGTGTAATTGAGTCAGAATCGGCCCGCAGTAAGGCCGTCGTGCTTAAAGGTGAGCAGTTTTCAGACGGTTTCGAACAGTTTGCGCACTCAGTCTACCCCTAAACAGTTAATTTCTGGTTGATGTAGCCGTCAAAAATCGGTTACGGAGGTGACGTAAGACATTCTTACGATCCTCTGCATGTGACGTCACACGTGGTCGACCTGGCCGAGGGCGATCAGCGGTGGTACACGTTTGCTGTAGACGCATCTGTAAATCATAACCAGTCCGTCGACTACAACCCATCGTCCTTGCGACTTTAGCTACGGACGTTCCTGTCTGCAACATGCCGATGGCACGTTCACGTTGCACATTTGAAAGGCGTGGCATGACAAATGACCGTAAAGACTTTTGTTTTCTTGTGTTTTTCTTTTTTTTGTTAATGACTGCTAAAAAGTATGCCTAAAAACACGTGCGGTATTATGGCCACGTGACCAGTTGCACGTGAAAAACCTCTTTTGCCACTAAGTGCTGTGCACGGGATTTTGATCGATTCAGCCGCACAAAAACGGGTGTTATCTGAAGACAATACGTGGCCATTACTGTTTAAATACACAATAAGGGTCCACAATGATAACTGGTCAAAATGTTAAAATTTTAGGATTGTGAAGTTTTTAATTTGGTTCAGTATACATATCAATGTCCCGCATATTTACAGGCTATAAACAGTGAGAAATATTGGTATGGTTACCACACGTTGTTTAGAATATGTTTAATTTGATATAAATACTTTGAGAATTCAATAATTGTGAAATGCCACGTTATTTCATCAATGTCATTGTTATCTGCACCAAGAAAGAATGCTAACATATCATGGTCTTCCATCGTCTCTATTTTAACATACATTTCAACATCAAGATTATCAATTAGAGTTGAAAAGAATACATCTCTTTCTGAAAGTAGACATTCACAGTTTAAGATGACATGGTGATAAAAATCATGAGCAAAAGTATTACATTTTGTACATTCTTTTGATAATTTGCTTCTGGATCCAATCCTTATTACATACTCTATTTCTTCTCTCAATTCTGGATATAACATTACAATGCTGTATAACACATGAGGAGTAAGTGTTGTGTGAATTTTAGAATATCGAGATAGGTCAGCTCTACATGATAGTTTATATTTCCATACTTCTTCCTCGTGGGAAGTTATTTCATTTAACACAATCTTTCTCCACTTAGTCTTCGCGGGGAATTCCCCTGTGCGAACGTAGTGAAATACATTATGGAGTAGCTTATATTTCTTGGCTGTTGAAAGCAACACTCCACATAAACTGTGTAAATTATTGTTATGAAAGAAATAGAGTGAAGTTAATGGGCAGAAAACAGTTTTACAAATTGAGACACATGAGCAGAGACGCCCCAGCAGCTGTAGTCTACATTTATCTATATAGCCAACCATGCTCCAAGGTCCCAGGTAGTGGCATCAGTGGGGGAACGTTTGTCAAAACCTTGTACAATCCTTGCAAAGTAACGCTGTGTGCTTTCAACTAATTCAAGATCTTTACCATGCAAAGGAGGTAGTAATTCACATCCATAAAAACTTGTTGTTAAGATCATTCTTTTCCATATCTCAATACTCGCATACTGATGTAAGTCACTACTATTTAGACCAACAGAGAGGAGAGAAATAATAGTACGCCTTGCTTTTGCGCAGCTCTCTTAAATATATAATTTGAAAGAAAGATTACTTTGTAGAACAACACCCGCATATTTTACATTATCAAACATAGGTATGTCATAGTCCCCAAAGTGATAAGCATCCGTACACAATAATTCCTTCTTTTTATGAATCACAACAATTTTACTTTTCGATGCATTATAAGTTAATCGCCATTTGAATGCGTAATTAACAACTGTATCTAAGGCTGTTTGTAGACCTTTAGGGCTGTAACTGATAAGAGTAGTATCATCAGCAAGTAACACGCATGGTAAACTAACATTATATATACATGTTCCTGCATCTAACTGCCGAAGCTCAGTTATGAGGTCAGACAGCAAATGTATCAGATTGTTCGCCCTTATACTGAACACACGCATACATGGAAGTATAAAAGTGATGTAACCGAGACCACATTTTACCTGTAATACCAAGATGATAGAGTTTTACAAAGAGAGTGCCATATTCGATCAAAAGCTTTCTCGTTATCTAGGAATGCTGTGTAGATACATGATCCTCTGTTAACATAACTTTGTACACATTCGATGAGGGTAAATAGCGAAATGACAGCACCATGCTCTTTCCTAAAGCCAAACTGCAACATATCGGGAAAATTACAGGCATTTCGGGATGTCCACGTTTCTAATCTTTCTAGGAGAATTTTCTCAAAAAGCTTACTAAGGCAAGATGTTAGCGTAATACCTCTATAATTGACAGGGTTTGATTTATCTTTTTTACCCTTATAAGTAGGTATAATTAACCCGTGTCTATAGGCTGCTGGTGTGTACTGAAGTTTAAGTGAGTGAGTGAGTGAGTTTGGTTTATCGCCGCTTTTAACAGTATTCCAGTTATATCGCGGCGTCTCAGCTTAATGTGGGAGGAAAGCCCGAAGTGATGCAGGTCTCAGACGTTTACCACTTCGGTGAAACCCACGAGCACGGGTATGGTGCTGACAAACCTAGAAACATAATCGGGGCGAACCGGGATTCGAACCCACGATCATAGGTTTCTGGCGTGCTCAAGGGACGCAACTCTGCACAGCGAATCGCGGCGCCTTAGACGACTGGGCCACCCGTGCCCCCTGAAGTTTAAGAATAGCGTTAAATAATAGTGCTAACTTCCCTACTAACAGCTCAGCACCAAACATCACATGTCATTATTAATCTTGTCAGGGCCAGGTGATTTGTTCCTCCTCAGTGTCTGTACATATCTAGTCACATCCTGAACCGATATTTCAGCACATAGTACATTATCAACACATGAGTTAGATTCGTCACTGGAGGCTAATTTCTCAATTTCATAGTCAATACCATCTTTAAAGTCTTGATCGAACTGGTCGGAGTCATATGGTTTTGCTAAATCCGCATAGTACCTACCCCAAGGCTGACATATGTCAGTGGACATATGTCAGTGGGGTTTGTTACATTACGGTCATCATATGTAAGTTTTTCAACTCCGATTTTTTGCTTACGTAGTTTTCTCACAGATTTATAAAACGTATTCACATCAGTATCACAAGTTTTTTTTCTAATTCCAAACAAAATGTCTTTGAATAGGCCTGCTTTGACTGTCTGTGACGACGTCGGAATTCTCGCTTAGCTTGCTTGTATGATGTATAAGAATGGAAATAACAGCGGCACGTGGGTGCGTTAACTGAACAGCAATACTACTGTCAGAAGAGACGAATGTAAACATTGCGTCCTCCATTTAGAGTGAATGTTCTGTCGAAGAGCTATACCACCGGACCCTCTCGTGGAGGTACATGCATCGTCACATATGTAGGACAGAAGTTTAAGATCTTTGAATCTTTGAATATTGCATGTTTTTAGCCAGTGTTCTTGTACAGCAATGATATCGACATAGTCCGGTAAAATAGAGTTGATATGTTCCGTCTGATGAGACACACCACGCACAGTCCAGGTCAGCACACTTAGTATCGTCACAGTAGACAACAAAGTCAATATGAACCTAGTCATTTTGTTAGTAGATGTTCCTTCTGTATTCTTGCTGTTGTTGTTGTTTCGGATCAGTTTGAAGCTGCCTTGGCACATAGTCTCGACACATGTCCTCAGGTCAGAAGTAATCGTCATTCACCATGACGTCATAATCATCTAGTGGCAAGTTTACCTGTACAGTGTAAGTTTCAGACTTATCAAAGTTAATCCGTTTCTTCATGAGTCGGACATATGTTACACGGACGTGACGTTCATGGGCATAGCTGGATACGATGTTCTTCAGTTCTTCGAACGACTTGTCCGCCTTGATGTTAGACATAACAATCCGTTTGATACGTAGACGGGAGACACCTTCTAGCTATAGAGTGTTATACGATTTGCTGAGGGATCGTATTGGATAACCTTTGTTCTGAGGGTTACTCTGATTATTCCGCTGGGCAGATTCCTTCCGTGGTCCACATATATCACTGTTAGTGTTCACATGAGTATTTCCACTGAATTCAAGGCCATGGGAATTATCTGTGTAGTGGGAATAGTTATAAGGGCATTGCCGGTAGATGCTCTGTCATCAGTGATGATGTATTCTAACTAAAGATACATATTCCAGTTTATCATTGTCCCTTTCCTATGTTTACAAGCAATGTAATTGTGCATAAAATTACTTGTCCCCAATACTTTCCTGCTATTTTTTGCATACAAGTGTTTGTAATATGTACATACCTTTGTATTTGAAATATTAATGATAAACGTTTATTTGCACTTTTGGTTTACCGTGATATAATCTACATATATATGGTATCATATAATAAATGAAATCTGTTGTGTGGTAACCAGACTTCACAGGATCTGTACAATATTATGTCAATATGGGGATTTTCTCACTGCTTTTCAATGGATGGCTATGGCTATTAAAGTGAAACTATTATTTCTGCTACATGGCTCCAGATAAGGACTGTATGTACAAATGCAAATATGCGAGATAAGATGTTAAGGACATGTGTGAAGCTTTGACGTTGTCGTTAAGGACACATGTGAGGTTGGGGCATTGTAGTTATGGACGTGTGTGGAGCTGTGACATTGTCGTTAAGGCCATGTGTGAGAGTAAGACAAAGGTCATGTGTGAGAGTAAGACAAAGGTCATGTGTGAGAGTAAGACAAAGGTCATGTGTGAGAGTAAGACAAAGGTCATGTGTGAGAGTAAGACAAAGGTCATGTGTAAGAGTGAGACAAAGGTCATGTGTGAGAGTAAGACAAAGGTCATGTGTGAGAGTGAGACAAAGGTCATGTGTGAGAGTAAGACAAAGGTCATGTGTGAGAGTAAGACAAAGGTCATGTGTGAGAGTGAGACAAAGGTCATGTGTGAGAGTAAGACAAAGGTCATGTGTGAGAGTGAGACAAAGGTCATGTGTGAGAGTGAGACAAAGGTCATGTGTGAGAGTAAGACAAAGGTCATGTGTGAGAGTGAGACAAAGGTCATGTGTGAGAGTGAGACAAAGGTCATGTGTGAGAGTGAGTCAAAGGTCATGTGTGAGAGTGAGACATTGTCGTGAAGGCCATGTGTGAGAGTAAGACAAAGGTCATGTGTGAGAGTGAGTCAATGGTCATGTGTGAGAGTGAGACATTGTCGTTAAGGCCATGTGTGAGAGTAAGACAAAGGTCAAGTGTGAGACTGAGACATTGTCGTTAAAGATACGTGTAAAACTGACAGAATTTCGATTACGCAATGCATAAAACTGTGACATTGTCATACGCTAAGCTGTGGTTTTGTTAAGAAAGCCATGTGTGAGACAGGCATTGTCAAAATGGTCATGTGTGAAGCTGCGAAACTGTCTATTTAAGCAGGGTAATCAGAAACTGTATAACTAATAATTGAAGTAAGTTGTGCTTGAGGAACTTATCCAAATTTTAATTGGACGAGCACTATCATAGTGTGTTATGGTAAACATGTGGATGACATTTCAAAGTTTGGTGGCCAAAATGCAATTCCTTATTTTGACTAAAATGTGTTCTCATGACTGTTCAGGTGAAAACTTCCCATATTTGTGCATGTGATTGTGGCGGGTGCACACTTTTCGCGAACACCTGTTATAATCACTGATCACCATTTATGCATTGCATAGAGGAAAACATTAGTATGGCGTATTCTTTTTCAGACAACTGCTATAACTTTGTTACTTTTAGGATTAGGGGGAACTGAAAGTGCTTGAATATCAATTGGATTATGACTGGATTATTTAGGAAATTGACCTGTTGGCATCATTTTTGGCGTTTTGCGACGTCTCTCTGCATAGGTAACCAAGATAAAACCATGGATTGTATCGGCTGTTCTTTCCAGAAAATAACTGGATTTGAACCCGAGGCTTGACTCTAGATGACGGGAGATACATTGAGTATATAACCTGCTGATCTGTGTTCATTAAACGTTGTTTCAACAACATTTTTACTGTATTCATATAGTCCCCGGTATACTTGTGTAACACTTCAGGAGTTCCCAGAAACATGGCCCCGCCCACCCATACACTGTTCCCTTTGATTACGCTTTCTATTGTAGCTTTATCGTTAAAACCATACACACGGCTATAAGCGACTCTGTCTCTGTCCCATTCGTGTGGTATTTGAAGCTTGAACACCGAGTTATCATCAGCAAGATCACGAAAGAGTCCAATATCCAACCAACAGAAATATTTGGTAGGAAACAGTTCCTCCATTAAGACTTTGTTAACTAACTCAAACTTTGCATGCATCGCGCATGAGTAGTTCTCGTTAACTGTGTTCGGATGATGATGTGGATAGTTAGGCTGACTGTAAATACTTCGAATTTCCCCAGCCAAAGAGAAGGACCAGAGATTGGCCCTGTCTATAAGGAAAACCTTTGTCATGTTGCTGGGAAACTTCCGTCTGAGGTTAGTAAGTAAATTAAAGGCATCTCTAGAATCGGTATATGCGACAAGGTTGTTCCTGATTCTGCCAAAAACCTTCATCCAGTGCATATAACGGCTTGGTGTGTGCACGTTGGATGTTTGACCCTTGGCGAATGAGCCAATGTTAAAATATGCTGTAACGACTGTGATTTCAGGTTTCAGAAGGGATGGATCGTCGATGCTCTGTGACAGGATCTGAAAGAAAGTTACTCGGGATAGACTTGGAGGAAAATACTCAATAAACAGTACCAATGGCTGCTTGTGTGTTGTGATCTTCTGTCAACTTCCAGGTCTTCATGAACACAAGTGAGTTGACTATATATGAACATATATGAATAGTTAGAACATCAAGAATTATATTGTAAGGAGACCAGAGTAATCAAATTGGAAGTAAGACATTTTTTAAAATAATTATTATTTTAAGACATGGTAACACATGAGCGTATCTACTCACTTTGTTGGTTTTGTTGTCTATGTTGAAGGTCACTTGCAGCCCAGATGGGAGGATTTGTGTTCTTGACAAAGTCTTGATATGAAACATTATAAAACAATGTTAGATTGTTCCTACAAAATACGCCACACAACTGAAACAAAAAACAGTTGTAAGTGGTAAAATCTCCAATTAATGACACATAGAAATGTTGTTAGTGTATATTCGACCATGAATGCTAAGAGTCACTTGTTAATCTCGCCCCGATTTGCTTGTTTACAGGCGGCTGTGACGTAGTTGTATGAACTCAAACAGTTTTAAACTGATGTGTTCAAACAGAAGAGAGTTAGATAATACTCACTAACATTATAATTATCATATACATTCTGACAATAGAGTACAAATGAACATAACATCCATCCATCCACACCCATACAATCATCTATGGATGTATGTTTACATGCAGTGCACGCGCACACACACACACAGACACACACACACATGCATACTTGCATACATACATACAAATTACAATCGTGCCGAAATCTGAAAATAGAATACCTCGATAGTCATTTTAACTTGGGCGTGATGACCCGTGAAGATATTCGGGGTAGAATAGGTCTTCAGCAACCCATGCTTGCTGCAAAAGGCGACTCTGCTTGTCGTAAGAGGTGACTAACGGGATCGGGTGGTCAGGCTCGCTGACGTGGCTGATGCATGTCATCGTAACCCAATTGCGTGGATCGATGTGCATGTCGTCAATCACTGGATTGTCTGGTCCAGATTCGATTATTTACAGACCGCCTTCAAATAGCTGGAATATTGCTGACTACGGCGTTAAACAGCAAATAAACAAACAAAACAAAACTTGATAATAACGTTAGAATAAACACAAGACTAATAATAATAATGTGTTTTTTGTACTTTGCACTTACCGTTAAGCTCAGGAACTCCGACCTTTTCAACCAAACTGTCACTGAAGAAAGGTGATGTACAAAACATTAACTGTAGGAACTGAATTTAATCAGTAAATTATGGCACTAAGAATTTTTACATTTCTGTATGGTTAAGGATTCTATGGATAGTGTGGTTGGTAATAAAGTGGCATTTGGTGACGTTCCGAGTAGAACCATGCAACTGTTCAAGCAAATGGACTGCCATATTTTATTCAAATACATCGTCACGATATGGCTGAAATATTGCCGATGTGACGTAAAGCATTAACTCACTCACTCACTATTCAAATACAAGAGGATGGAGCATACAAAACGCATGTTGATTGATAATGACGAACCACGCTAGGATAGTAACACTGTAGACTGTCTCACATTAAGTAACAGATAAGTTCCTTCTCGCAGTTACATACATAATCGCGTCGACATAAGAAAATATCATCACAAGCATTTGCGTTGCTTCAGTGACCAGTTCAACCGTTTGCTTTAGTTTGGGTTGAGGTGATGAGGTGGTTTTAGTGACAGGTTGGGGGTCAGGCAGGTTTATCATCCGACAAAATATACTTAACAGGTGATTGACAAGAGGGATGACTTCAGCTTTTCAAACGTCAACTTTCACTTAATGTGCAGCTCCAGCCTTTGGTGTCTACACTTCACAACTTTTGAGATACAATCAAGCATGCCCTTTCTACCAAGATTTCAAAGTCAAAGTCATACAACTTTTGCTGAGAAGTTTGATCAATGTTACACCATTCATGGCCTCGGGGCGGTCGGGTAGCCTAGTGGTTAAAGCGTTCGCTCGTCACGCCGAAGACCCGGGTTCGATTCCCGACATTGGTACAAAGTGTGAAGCCCATTTCTGGTGTCCCCCGCCGTGTTATTGCTGGAATATTGCTAAAAGCGGCGTAACTAAAGATCATAACTTATGACACCATATAAACATGCCAAAACGTCAACACTTTATCTGTTGTTGGAATAAACAGTTTAAGTTACAATGTATTCAGCAACATAGCTGGAAAACTTACATTGCAAGGAGATCAAACAAGGTATACAAGCTTCTATAAATCTCGAGAATGGGGAAGTCAAAAGCATTTATTCACTTATTTGGGGATTATAAATATGGTAACACTAATAACGGGAAGCGGAATGGCCTGTAGTAAATACATCGTACTAATAATGACACAATTAGTATGTTTACGTAGACACAAACACACGTGGTGTGGTGTGGTCTGGTCAGTAACTGACAACCTGCTGATGACAAATGTCAATACACCTGGTCAGTAAACTGACCACTACAATGATCGAACGATGTGTGACGTCTACTACTCATCTAACAGTTGAAACATTTGTACATCAACGCATTCGTTTTCTCTTTGTTTGAGAGGCATTACTTAGAAGTTGACGGATGACAAGGTAGACACAATTTTATGGATAAACTTATCCACACAATTGTGTTTACCTTGTCCTCCGTTTTCTACCAAGGATTTAAGATTGGGAGGCCTCTAAACGTGTAAGTTATTTTCTTTTACAAAAGAATAGGATTTCGATCAAAAGGCTACAGTTAAAATGACAAATACAACGTTTATATCTATAAGGTTATGGTGAATTTCAGGCGAAACAACCACTACTTTGAGAATGGATGTTGAGAGTACGCGATAAAGTGCTTCACCTTGTATACATGTAAATACATTTAATGATACATCTGTTGATTTTGACAGACCAGGCCAAGTCGGACCCAACACAAGCCACTTCTGATAGAGACTATGTTGAGAATGTAGAGGGAAAAGGGCTTCACTTTGAGCAGCTTGTTGTCTTTATATACCGCGATCTGAGACACTATTACGTGGTATTTAGGTAGATATAACAATAGTCTATAGATCTAAACACATTTGAAGATACATCTGTGCGGTTTAAGTTGATTTTGACAGCCCGGGCCAAGTCGGACCGAACACTTCTAACAGGGATTTTCTTAAGGAAATACAGTAAAAATGCTTCACTTTGAGCATCTTGTTTTCTTTAAATACGATGTACCGTGACATTATAAAGTGGTATATAGGTAGATTTAATACTAATGGGGATGTAAACACATTTGAAGATACATCTGTTTGTTAATAGAAGACTTTGACAGCCCAAACCAAGTCGGACCCAACACAAGCCAAACACTTCTGATAGAGAGAATGTAGAGGGAAAAGGGTTTCACTTTGAGCACCGTGTTTGCTACCGCAATATGAGACACTAAAGTTACTTACTTACTTACTTATATTAGAGATTTTACGTGCCCTTTCCGACTCCAGCGTATTTCGCACACGGGCCCGGCCAGGCCATTTAATGTGTTTCCGAAAAGGGAAAAGTTGTTTGGCAACCCAGCAGGGTGGTTTTAGTGAGAATTTTTGGAAATTTTGAGATTTGGAATAAATGCCGAGAGGGTTTGGGAGGAAAACTAAGGGAGCTGGGTATGGTAGTATGTTTGTTTATGTGATTTGGATTTGGTAGTCTATGTCTAAGGCTTTGAATTTTTCTAGTTTATTTTGTGGGTTTAGGATTGCTTCTAGAGTAAGATCCTTATTTAGATTGAGGGTGGTTTGTAGTATACATGTAGTTCGGTAGTGGGCGCAGTGTACGAGTGCGTGTTCTGGGGTTTCTAGTTGTTTGCAGTGTGGGAAGTTTCCTGTTGCGTGTTGTTTTTTTTATTTTGAGGTGGTTATTTAGGTTGGTGTGTCCTGTCTGGAGTTTAGTGATTATTCTGTCGATTTGTTTTGACGGATGTAGAATTTTTTGGTTTGGTAGGGGTATTTTGAGAACTTTTTTTATTTGGCCATTTGAGTTTAGATATAAGTTATGCTATTTTTTGGTGATTTTTTGCTTGTTGACACTTTTAATTTCTGATTTTGAGATTGGTAAGTTTAAGCTTATTTCTAGGATTTAAGGGATAGTTTAGCTGCTTTATCGGCGTTTTCATTGCCGTACATTCCTACGTGGGTGGGGATCCAAATGAATACTATTTGTTTGCCTGCCTTAGATAAGTCGTTTGAGCTTTTTAGTATTTGATTTATTAGTTTAGGGCGGTTTTTGGTGTTTTTGTTGTTTTTAGGGCTTGCAGTCCACTGAGCGAGTCGGTAAGTATTAAGATTTTTTGGTGTTTTTTAGATTGTTGAATATGAAGGGCTGAGGCCATGTCCATTAGTTCGGCCGTGAATATTGATTGATTGTTTGGGAGTCGGAAGGATTGTGTGGCTTTAGTTCGTTGTGTGATGTGGACTCCGAAACCTGTGTGTTTTGAGATCGGATCTGATGACCCGTCTGTGTAAATGTGACACCAATTTGGCCAATTTTCGTGTATGTATGATAGTATGATAGTGATGTTTGGGTCGGTTTGTTTATTTATTGTGCTAGCTAGTGTTATGCCTATTTTGGGTGTTTTAAGTTTTGGGGTGAAGATGTTTGATTGTTAACAGTTTTGTTTAAGATTGTTTATTTGGTGTTCATTTAAGTAATTGATTATTCTTTAAGTAGAGGGTGTTTTCGAGCTACGGCTTAGTTTTTTGGGCTGATATTTTTGTTTATTAGGTTTTGGATTAGGGGGTTTGATTGAGACGCGGCTCAGAAATTTAGGGTGAATTGTTCCCTACGTAGAGTGGCAATTCTCCTCTTAAGGCCTGGAGTGAAGCGTAGGAGGTGCCATGTTGAGTTCGTGTTATTAGTTTTAGAGCCTGATATTGGATTGAGTCTGAGGGATTTGTTTAGGGTGTCGTATATGGCACAGCCGTAGTCTAGTTTGGATCTGTTTAGTGATATATATAGTGAGAGGAGGGTGTCTTTAGAGGCCCCCCAGTTTGAGCCAGTTGGGCATCTTAGCGTATTTAGATCTTTGCTACATATTAGGTTGTTTATGTGAGTGTCCCAGGAGAGATGTTCATCGAAAATTAGTCCTAAGAATTTGGTTTGTTTTAGGAAATGGATTGGTTTGTTGTTTAGCTGGAGTTTTGGGGAGGCGGGTTTCATGTTTTTTGTATAAATACTATTCCTGTTGTTTTTTCCGGGTTAAGGGAGAAGCCCCATTTGTCAGCCCATTGCTGTATTTTGTTTAGAGATTTTTTAAGTAGATTTGGGGCCATTTTAATTCCTACACAATCGTAAAATAACCGAGTGAGTGAGTGAGGAAGTAAGTAAGTAGATATAATACTAGTCTATAAATTTATAGTATGTGTTGTAATTTTAGAAGCGCTTTGACAGTTTTAACACGTGTCGTGTCAGTCCTATGACATTCACTTGCAGGAAACAACCTGTGTTGGTTTAACATGAATTAGTAAAGGTTAATTAGGGATGCCAAACACGTTAGTTAATTAAAGAAGAGTACTCAAAACACTGTCATTTCCTGCCCAGGACATCACATCCCTACACGCTAAGGTCGGTGAGAAACCCTCTCATCAAGGAAAAGACACTGACGTTTCGTTATGAACTCTCGGTATGTAGCTATAATTATCAGTTTATTAGCCTCAGCCTCATAGTGTGTATTTCTAACACAGGATATGTACCAACGCAAAACACTATTAAATGATAACTTCTGCGTGTGTACATGTTACTGTGCAAACATATTCGTCTACGGACATATTGACGTTGATGTATGGACATATTGGCGTATTACATGTTGGTGTATGAATATAATGATGTATGGACATGTTCATGTATGGGCATTTTCATGTATGGGCATGTTCAGGTATAGATATACTGATGTATGGGCATGTTCATGTATAGATATACTGATGTATGGGCATGTTCATGTATAGATATACTGATGTATGGACATCTTCATGTATGGGTATACCGATGTATGAACATGTTCGTGTATGGATATGTTCATGTATGGGTATACTGATGTATGGAAATGTTCATGTATGGATATGTTCATGTATGGGTATACTGATGTATGGACATGTTCATGTATAGATATAATGATGTATGGACATGTTCATGTATAGATATACTGATGTATAGACATGCTCATGTATGGATATGTTCATGT